TTTTGCACAATAAGATGTTAATAAACACGTTGTTCATACAAATACATGTGTGTTTTTGCGCGGTCATAGATAGGGAAACAACACCACGACTCGCAAGGCCTGGTCCCCCCCGAGCTGATGAAGAGCATGTAAAACTTCATGAGGCAGCAGGGTGCTTACTTGGACTGGAACTGGATCTTCATCGTAGTCTACCTTTGCTTCCAACACGGAGCACTGCAGCCCATCAACCGAAACAGCCTATTGACAAACTCATGTAAGAAAAGGACACACGGTGCGCACGAAGGGGCTTGAAGCTCCACGGTGATTTCATATGGCTCTAGCTTCAGCCCACGTGAACCCCGTAGAAAGCGGTGAAGGTCTCGCGCTTCGTTGCTTGAACTTGATCCATAGTTCCCACAAGACGCAATGGCTTCTATGGCAGGGAGGAACATTCCATCTGCCTTCACCGCTCTAGCGATCTGAGCTGCTGAACTGACATTTGACCCTCCCCGGCCAACCATGTCCAGCAACAAATTCGCTGTAGCACTCTCAGGTAAGCCATCAAAAGACACCCTTCGCCTCTGGAAAGGTCGCTCGCCTCCAGCATGTCAGGAGGCAAGAAGAACGTACACATCTCTAGCTGCTGTAGGAGTGCTGACAAGAGATGAAAATGCGTTCCCAAACATTGACATTGAACATACTGCGCACATTTTTTCAAGTACTTTGCCCATCTAGATCTGTCGCGTAGATCAGGGCCCCACAAGCTGAGCGACTATGCGCACGCTCAAAACACCACCCCGAGCGAAGATACCTAAAGGCTACAGGCTACGACTTCTTTCGCTTCTCAGTTTTTGTTTTCGCCTCAGCCTTCGCCTGCCTCTTCCTCTTGCTCAAGATCCCAGAGGCGGATGCCTGTGTGGAAGCGTTGACAAAATCTTTCCTCTTGGATCTTATGTTGAACACCTTGTTACAGCTATCTTTGCGTTCTTCTTTCAAAGTTCAAAAAAAATGAATGGTTGTCTTAATTCGACCGTCTTAAGCGAAATTAGGATACCACCTTTCGTTCAACAGAAGACCCCCGCCTCAGCCTTTTCAAACCATGATGTCTTGTCATCGATGTCCTTTAGGATACGCTTCACCTCCCTCTCATCCAAGGGATCTTTGGCTGTTGCTGAACACAGCGATGTGTAAACAGATTCCATGGCAGTTGCGTGAGTTTTCAACTGCTCAGAAAGCTCCTTCGCGTAATCCAAAGCCATCAGCTGGATGCCAAGTTTCCTCGCTTTGGTTGCCTGCTCAAGCGTCAGCTGCAACTTGTCCCCAGCTTGCCTGAGCAATGAGAAAGCCACAAACAAGCAAGCAAAACGGAGACAGACTGAGATGGGGAGATAAAACGAGAAACAACAAAAGATGCAGTGGGGTGCAGTGGGGTCCAAAGTTTAACTTGTTGTAGCCTTCAGAACACGTGTGACAGACGCGGCAAGCTAGCATGTTTTGACCCTCACAGTCACTGAGTCCCCCGACTCTGACAAAGTCTTGGGTTTCAACTCCTCGCTTTTATCCTTGTCTTTGTTCTCCTTCTTTTGTTTGACCACCTGCTTGTTTTCATCGTCAAGCGCTTGGAACAATCTTTTTGCTCCAGCCTCTGTCCCTGTCTTGATGCTGGGGAGCAGCCCCGCTGGGAGCGGGCCATCTTCCCCGGTCAAAGCTTGGAACATGGCTGCGTCCACTTGCGATGTCGCCTTGGCACCAAACTTCTCCTTCGTAAGCTCATCTTGGCGGACCACACGCCCCTGGGGCATGTATATCCAAAGCTCCTACAAAGGGTCAGTCTCGAACACTTTGACAGGATGTGATCGGTGAGCTCGTATAATAACCCTCAACACCACCTTGTTTTAGTGTGACTTTGACCTGTTTCTGCGCGCGAACCCCAAGTGCCCCAAGTGCCCCCACGTACGAACGCACGCGCGCACTTCTCCTCGCCGTCATCTGGCCAATCCTCATCGTTGTAGTACAAACCAGCTTCCTTTCGCCTGGTCACCAACTCATTCAGTTTGGCCTCCGGCATGGTCTTGCGAAGGTCCTTGACCTGGATCGCAGTCCATTGCTTTCGCGACAAGCTAGAAGACTCCTGGCTCCGCTCAACTTCAATCACGCAAGCATCCCAGTCCTCCTCAGAGTCCAACCAGATACCGAAAAGGTCGGTCTTCTTGCGCTTCAGCATGGGCGCCAGCTGCAGAGGGAAAGCCTTGCTCCGACATTGGGTCGAGAAGCGATCCCATTCCTTCTTGTGCGTGCTGCTGTTGCGGACTTCTTTTTGCGCTCCGTTCTTGGTTTCTGCCACTGCCTTTGCAAGCCCATTGCTTTTTGGCGCATTTCCCTTTCTTGTTTTGTCACTCTCACGTTTCTCTTCTTCTTCTTCCATATCACTACCTTCTGCCTCCTCATCATCTTCATCTTTTTCCTCCACCTCTTGCTCCGGGTCATCTTCTGCATCCTCTTCTTCCTCTCCCTCCACCGATTCCTGGTCGTCGTCCTCCTCCTCATTCTCTGAGCCGGATTCCTCCGGCTTTTCTTCTTCATCATCTTCAGCGCCGGCTTGCGGTGTCAAGGCCTTGCTTTTCAAGAGCTCAGCAAGGCTAGCCGGGTTGAACTCCTCACCCCTGCGCGCACACTCCTTCTGCAGATCATCTAAGAAGCTACTCAAATTCGAAGCATCGAACTCTGCTTCTGTTGACGCCTTCTTTGCAGCTTCATCCAAAGCTGCTGCACGAGCCCTGCCTTTGCTGCCTGCTGACTCCGTCTCCGATTGGAGTGGAGTCGGAGGTGACTTGGTACGGTGCACTTTCGATGGCGGTGTGCGCACCGCAGGCGCAGTAGCAGGTGCCTTCAACTTGGGCAGAACTTTCTCAACTCTGGCATTCTGAGCAATCTGCTTGGCTGCCTTTTCATCAAGAACCACCTTCTTGCCCTTCTTAGCAGCATCAGCTAGGACCTTGACTTTCTCTTCGATTGAAGACGCAGTGGCTTTCTTGCCCTGCAGCACTTTCAAAATCTCCAGCGCTGACGACTTCATGGTCGATGGCACAACCGTGTTGTCGGATGGGCTGTGCTTGACGTGATTGTCATGGTTCTTCTTGGCCCCCTTCTCCTTCAGTGCACTCTTGCGGACAGGCTCCGCCTTTTGTTTTCCACTCTTGGTTTGGGACTTCTCCGCTGCGGTCTTCTTCTTTACCGTCTTTACCATGGTGAACACACTAACAAGCGCGCCCCCACAACAAGGCCTTTCTAGAAGGCCAAAACCCTACAAGTCGAAAAGGCGGCGTACAAGCAGCTGAAAGGAGACTTCAGTAAAGAGCGTCAAAGGGGTGTTGAAGGAATCTGCAGAAAATGATAAAAATAAATGGAAGTGTATAGCAAAGAATGATCACCTTGATCCTAGATACACACGGCACCATTGCAAAGCGCACTATTCAGAAAATTCGGCTCGATCAAGCAGTGCCCTTTCCACTTCACATCTTAAAAAGTAATTCCATACGTGTGGTTTCAATCGGTTTTCAGAGGGTTTATACAAATCGAGCGGTTTCGACACAAATCGAGCGGTTTTCGACTACAAATCGAAACATCAGACCTTGTCAAAATTGTGACATTTCACGGAAAAACTTCTGAGGAGCCTCCCACGCTGGATTGGCGCCGCTTCTTGAGCACCAGCCGGCTCATTAGAGACCTGGCACGATGCATCGTATCGTTGCAGGGTCTGAGTTTTTGGGGGCTGCATGGGTTTCGGTGGGGACACCGTCAGTTGGCGGTAGAGTGGGTTGCTAGCTGCATAACAATTTGTTTTTTGACCCCAGCTGGAAGGCATCCAGTCGTTGGCTGTGTGCAAATCACACAGAGCCTAGTTGCCTAATTGGCACAGAACCTACTTTGGAATTCAAAGTGCACTCAGCAATTGCAAAGCAGCCATCACTGCTTTGCCAAAAACGCAAAGATGGGCTCAAGGTTCGCGTGATTGACCCACATATTATGGGTTTTTGGCCTGCAATCGATATGAGTGTCTTCACACTTCAGCGCGTTCCTCAGGAATTTGGCGCCCTGCTGGTGGTGGATCTTCTGGAACTTGCTACGCACCTTCGCTACAGCACGGCCGAACCTGGGAGTGGCAGGATAGCCGGTTGTGGGCGATGTGTG